GACCCTTCATGGAGGTGTTCTGGAGTCCATATGACGCCACCTGAGGTGAAGCCAGAAGTGTGGAGGGACACGTTCCCAACGATGGTCATGGAGGTACCTACCTTCTTGAATATCACCATTCACCCCCAGACGTCGTCAATAGTGGATTCGCGCAGCGCCGCCTAGGTTGCGTCAGCATCGCCTACAGTGCGTTTGCCGCTTTGCGGTGGCTCTCGTCGACCTTCAGCGTGTTTAGGATCCATCAACAGTGACGTCATGCGCAGGCCTTGTCTTCTAGCCGGTACCGAACCGAACGCAACAAACATACACGCTCGCCATCAAGCGTTACCGTAGGGGCATGGCCGGGTCCCGACAAGTGACAAACCGGCGAGTCAAGTCAAGAAGTCGTTTTACGTTAAGTCATAAGATAGATAGGGGATAGGGTCCTAAATATTTTGAAGAAAGCAGTTTTCTGGGCGACACTATGGCCGAGCTGAATAAAGCCGCGTTTGGCCATAGTTTCCGTGCAGTCTACAACTTTTGTAATGGGCCTATACATGCAGCAGCCGTATCGCTACTCACGGACGACTTTGAATCGCCGCAACGGATGGCACTTCTTCGTGCGCCGCACGATGGGATGGCGAACACCGGCAATGTCTCGTCGCAGTGGGCGAAAAATCCCTTATGCAATAAAGAAACAAACTATTCAGGAGCACTGATCTCAGACGTCTGAACTTCCCCCTCTCGATATCATCATTTCTTCACGAGAGAACATATTGGTGATCAAACGGTACCATAAACGAATGCGCAGGTCGTCGAACAGCTTATTTTTGTATTATCAGAGGCCCAAAGAAACAAACTACGCGGCCATGAGTGCCTTAAGGGTTTTATAGATCACAAACGTCGCACAAAACCTCAAGATCCGAAATAAGCGTTACTTGCCACGAAAAGACGAAACAAAGTTGCGAGAATGAGCACTTTCTTTATTCAGTCTTTTTTCAAAGATCACCTCGCATTGCCCGGAGGCATTATTGCAGGGGGGTTACAGTTTTGAAAAAAAAACATATCTTCATTTGTAGAGCACACTTGGTTTTCAGTCAACATATTCCACTTTGCAATGGTTTTAACAATAAAAAAGAATTCACATACATGTTTGTCCAGGCGTGATACTCTCGGATTTTGAAAACGTGATCAGTCCTAAAGTTCCGGCTTGGGCGAGTTGGTACATACTTCGGAAAAAAAAACAGCGCGAAAAGACGAGGACCAAACAAAGAAGTAACGCGAACGCAGCGCTGATCCTCGTCTTTTCGCGCTGTTTTTAATTCCGAAGTGATCAGTCCGACTAGAAGCATAAGGTGGGTGTTTTAAATATATTTCTATATTAATGCCGGTTTTATTATTGTATATAAGAAATAAAAACTTCAACCTCAACCTTTTTCGTCGGGAGGAAAGTAGTTCCCAATTCAATTCACTTTTCATTTTAGTGCAGCTCTCCCTCCAGCCATACCGACCCAGGACAAACCTAGCAGCTCTGTTTTGGATTCTTTCCAATTTATCAATCAAGGTAATTTACGAAGGGTCCCAGACAGCGCAGGCATATTCTAAAATTGGTCTGACATATGATAAGTACATGGGTTTTTTTCTGATTTTTTTTTTCAAATCAGGTTGTTATCATTTCAAATTCCTTTGAATAAAATTGAGCGCCCTGACAGCTTTCACGATCACGTCATCAACATGAGCGTTCCAAGAATAGTCGGATCATAAAGTGACACCAAGGTACTTACTTATACGTAGATTTGTTACTTATTGAGTTGTTTTCTATCCGGTAGTGACTTTCAATTTTTTTTTTCTTTTTCTTTGTAAAACAGAGGTGCACAGACTTTTTTGGATTTAAGTTCATCTGCCACGTGGAGCACCAGGTATTAATACACTCCAGATCTCGTTGCAACAGAGCAGCATCTTGTTCGTCCTCGATTTGTTTTATACACGGCGCAGTCGTCGGGAAACAACCGTATACACGAGGAAATTCCCACGGAAATATCGTTTACATAAATTAAAAACAAAAGTGGGCCTAGGACAGAGCCACTCCTGAAGTGACGTCAGCATACCCCGAATTTTTTTCCTTCAAGACAACACATAACCGAAAATCTAGAAAAACATAATCAGTTTGCCCTCCATTATCAACATTAGAAGCCTGTTCGTGATAAAATTCTACAAGCTGTGTCGTGCAAGGTAGTCCTTTACGAAACCCATGTTGTTCTTGAAATAGTATGCTGTTGTTTATTATTTGCCCCATTATTTCTGTATATAAAATGTGTTCGATGATTTTACATGAGATAGCAGTTAGTGATATTGGCCTGTAGTTCGAAACTTTGTTGTTGTTTTTTTAACCGCCTTTGTGACTAGGGACAACATGGGCGATTTTCCAGTCGTCTGGTAGGGTACCGGCGGACAGTGATTTATCGTAGATTAAATAAAGATACATCGATATAGATCCAGCACAACGCGTTAGTATACGTGGAGATAAACCATTGGGACCATTTGCCTTGGTTTCGTCGATATTTTTCAAGAGCGCCTCACGAGCCTCCATACGCTGCCCGCCCACAACAGGATTAAATCCCCACCACTGCCCGTTTCGATCTGGACTAGCATCGTACCGACTTGCGGTCGTGTATTACTAATGCGTGTTGCACATTAAAAACTTCAACCAGGCTAGCGCGGTCGTACTGCAACGGCTAAATTTCTCATATACAGCTGGTAACAATGTCGCCGCACACCAAAAAGTAGACTGACCTCACAATGACTGAACATCTAACGACAAATTTAACGTTCGCTTTTTCGAAAGGTTCATTAAACAGCTCGTAGAAAGTGTCATCTTTTATATCGTGAGTATAGAGCGTGCTTTGCTCGCTTTCCGAAATGTCAAACACATACCTGCTTGGCATTAAACATTGTATGCGGGACTGTGGATTTTGTAAACATTGGGAAGGTGCATACTATACTAAGTCTTACCTTAGCATGAACTAACTGCGAAGGCTGTGCAAGCGCGAGCGGGTAGCCTTGACTGCCTTGACTTCAGCCCTCGCTGCACGAGCGCTCGTGCAGCCGCCGAGGCTTCATCCAATGCAAATAGCTCGCGATTTTAGCACGCGTGACTAACAATAGTCCATTTTGAGGTGAGACGAAGTATAGCCTCTGCCTCGCTCGCACTTCTGGGGAATCAAAATAGGGTTGCGTTACTCTTGTTGTCCGGTAATATCACCCGTTGCAGTAATTGTGAAATGAAGAACTGGACTACTGGCATTATAAGATTATATTCTCTGCAGCCGCTGTAGGAATTTTGAACTCGACAGTTTCAGATATGAACATACAGAAGATAGACTTTACGTTTGCAATGTAGCGGCTTAACTTACAACTCTTCTTTTAGTTTATTAATTAAATCATTTTTCCAAGACGAAAGTCTCGTTGTATCAAAAGCACCATGCAACGATGTTTTGCATCACCTAAGTACTGCGTAAAATGCGCGTCTTATATTATACATACGCGCCTTACTTTCATTTTAACGTTGCAGAGAAGAATGTCTCTGCTTTAGCGTACGTGTTATGGTCTTCAAATATTCGCTCCTGTAAAGTTCTACATTTATATTCAATTTAGAGAGCTAAGAGTAGTGCTAGAAAACCCCTTTAAGCTAAAGCCGATTTTTTCGGGCCGGACTTTTGTGCAACTCAATTATTTTATTAAAATCTCCGTAATCCACAACAAATATTTCTAACCGTATGTCAGCGTCAACGGTACACCAATATCTTAAGGTGGGCTAACATTTTAATCACACAGCTAAAACCCTTAATACCTCCGCCAAGGCAGTGTTTCTTAAGGTTTCTCGCATTGCTTTGCGTCGTGAAATTGGGGTTCGTTTAAGGCAAACAAAACTAGTTTTTCGCGACTACTCCTATTACAATAGTAATCCCTTTAGCTGTAAGTTCTCAATCTAAATTGGAGTAGCTAATCAAATAAAAAAAGAAGATGGAACATAGATGAAATAAAATTAAATATTTACAATATGACAGCAATGGCATGTCTTTTCAATATCTACTCGTTTTCTAGTTATGCCCATCACGATGAGCGAACATAATACAAAAAGCGCACATCTAAAAAAGCTAATTTCTGATGCGAGGTCGAGGATCTGTTCGAGCAGATTGTGTGTGAACATAATGTGGAGGGAATCCGCTTTTTCCGGCGACTCCACAAAGGGCTCTCTAGAGCTCTGACTGTCGCTTAACCGCTCCCGCCCTCTTGCGACCTCTATACTGAAGAAAATTAATGATTTTTGTTTTAAAGTGAAACCAGGTTTTAAGCGGGTCAAATTCGCTGCATTCGTAGCGTCCTTCCGTTTGCCCCGCGCAACTTTTTGTTTTTATCTTTAGGAAATGCGTGGAAGCTTACCACAACATCTGGAAAGCCCCAGACTTATGAACAAAAACTGTGTGTGTGTGCGCGCGTTGTCCACTTTTTGTTCTTTAGTCTGGGGTTTTCAAGATGTTGAAAGTTCACGAGCAAGCCTGCACGTCCTTCGTCCTCTTTTCCGAGCTTGCTACGCCGACGACGGACCTTGCTTCGAACATCGAGGCACGTAAAAAACTGTACAACACGATAAAAAGAAAATCTTGCCACCGGCAACATTTGGTTTTTTGGCACGGGAAAGCGTCGAGACGGCCGTCGCTAAAGCCACTGGGATGAAGTTTTCTTGCATTCGCGAGATTTCCAAGGTACGGTCGTTCTACTCCGTGTGAGCGCATACGATGAACCGCATCGGACGCTACGAACCACCTGAGCCAACCTAGCGCCGTGCAGGTTTCACGTGGCTCGGTTCCCGCGCGTCGTAGCGTCGCTCCCCAAGCACGTGACGCGGCATTGCATTGGCTCCTCGTAGCGTCCGCTGCGGTGCGTCGTCAGGTGGTACGGGATTCCCAGTCTAGGCAAGGAAGCGCCATATACGCGCTTGATTCTTCGTTCTGGCGCAGGTCCCCCGGAGCCCCTGAGCAACTGCAACGTCCTCAACGCCACCGCGGATTCCCTGCAGATAGCCTGCGACTCGGGATACGACGGCGGCCTGGAACAGACCTTCCACCTTGAGGTGACCAGCGCAGTTCCACTGGTTTCGTCTTTTTTACCGCTATCTGGAGATTTTTAAGCGCACGAGTATTGCGTGCGTGTGTGTGTGTCTGGTGGAGACGCTTTCGACGCCGCTACACTTCCGGCTCTGGCACTTTTTCTTTTTTTTTCTTTTTTTGGGGGGGATTTTATTTCCGCGTGAGAATTTGATATCCTGTTCGCGCTCAAATTGGACGCGTAACCCAGATCTGGGCTGGAAAGTCCGTTGGGGTGCAGCGAGGGCGATGCGTCGGTATCCAAGTGCAGGTGTCAGCGTCTCAGTGGCCGTCGTCCTTCGGTTCAACGTGGCAGTTGCGCGAAGCGACCGGTCCCTCCAAATCCTCAGCGCGGCGCCGTCGTTTCAAGCTTTCGGGGCTGCATTAGTGGCGAGCAAACGATGTCGGCGTCGTCTTTTGGCGAAGGGACCCGTTTCGCGAACTACGAAACGATGCCGGGAGGTTTAGTAGACTGGAATGTCGATGTCACGCTGCAACTGCGAGCTTTCTTCTTTTCTTTATGCGCGGATTGGGCCGTCGTTGTGGAGTCGGATTTTGTGGATGGGAACCTTGACCGATACTAAAACTGGAAAAAAAACTAAAAAATCTCCTTTAGTCAGTCCCAGCTTGAGAAACGCAGGGCGTGACTTGGTAGGTTTTCTCGCTTGGTTATTGGTTGCTGGGCGTACCTATCGCTTAATCCGACATTCTCATGCGCTGCGAACCCAAAGGAAGAGTCCCGGGACTTGCTGCACCCTGCATTTGGTAAGCTGTCACAGGTATTATAACTATGTCGAGAAGACCGATGTTGCCCTGCTGATATCGTTTGGAGGATCCGCACAGCAGGTTTTACAGAGGCAATAGTCACCAATAATTCTGTTCCGTCCGAAACACCGCTCCCTAAAAGTTCTCTAGAATCTCTTCCTGGAAGGGTTTGACATGCCTGAAAGTTTCCCATCATCCACCCTAGTAGAGGAAACAAGTCCCATGAGCGGGAATTAGGAATTGGAAGTTGAGGTAATGGGGTGGGGAGAAATTTCAAGTTTGTGGAATACGACATGGTTTAAATTCGCCATTACGGTGTTTTTAAAAAATCTTTTTAAATATGCATTCGGTAGGCGCATAGTTTGCCGCTAGCGAAGGCTAAAACTAACGAATTAGCGGTTTTTAGGCCGATACCCACACATTATTACGTTCGCAATTTTGTAAACTGAGCTTTTTATTTAAAAAATGTGGTGGGCAAGTCGGCTGTTGATTCTTTATGATAAACCGTTTTCATTTACTTATTTATTTATTTCAAATTCCTTACGGGGGCAAACGTGAGATGACATGAAACGCACAAGAAATATAAATCGCCTGCTACCTGAAGTGAAACACGAAGCAAACACAACCAGCTTAGAGAAGCTTGCAAATACAAAACACGATTAAAAACCACCCTGCCGATGCGTGTGAATATGAATATATCTGCAGTGTTAAGATCTAGAGGGAACATAAGAAACTGCGAATTTACATCCTTAGACACCAGATTCTCCGAAAGCACATTACAATATTGAATAGACCGCGGGAAAAAAAAGTATTTAAAACTTTTCAGTTTTGGATGTGTATGACCTAATCTTTCGGGAGTGTGAAAAATAAAGTAGGGTTGCAGTAAATGTTTAGGTTTGTGTATGCCGCATTTTTCGTAATAAATGTTATGGGCAAGTTTCAAACAAAAATGTCTACGCCGGGTTTCGAGACGTTGCCAGTTTTGTATTGTCTGAACAGACTGAAATAAAAATTAAAAAAGTAAAAGTTTGTGTTTTAGAGCGGTCACACCTGGATAACACTGGTAGTTTTTGAAAACAAACCTGGCGGATTCGTTTTGTGTTATATCTATGTTGTTGTTGTTGTTGTTGTTGTTGTTGTTGTTGTTTTTTAATACTACCGGTGGGAATACAAAAGTTCACAGGAATTTTCCAGCATGTGTATGATGTTAGCGAGGTATAAAGTTTTATTTTTCAGGAGGGCTATTCCTAAAGTATTGTTAAATAAATCCTAGGACCTTGTTTGTTTTAGCTGGGATGTATTCTATGTTGTTGTTGTTTTTCCCCGGGGCAGATTGTTAGAGAAATAGGCGCCTAAATGTTTTACTTGTAATGACAAACTGATGGGAATGCTGCTAATAGGGTATATATTGGTGGGAGGAATCCGCTTCTTAGTGAATCGAATTCAAATCCATGCCCCAGCTGGAACACCAGCTTGTTATCTTCTCGATGTCCATAAGTAAATCCACGCATTCATTTAAAATGTCCACTTCACGTTAAACCAGCAATCATATAAACGTATGCTATAAGAAATGTGCGCAGCGATTTCATTAATAAATATTAAAAATAAAAGTTGCCCGAAAACGGTTTTCTCGTGCATGCCAGAAGTGCCAAGAATAAAATTATACGATTTTCTATTCATTAGCATCGCATAAGTTCTACCACTTAAGTATTCAGTTAGCCATCCAAAAATGTTATCAGTTATCTTAAGAGAATTTAGTATAATCAGTATAAATTGGTGCGGCACGAATTCAAGTTGTTTTTTTTTTTTATAAAAAAAAATGAAACCTAACTGAGGTCCTTGATAATATGCAAATTCCAGGTCGTGATATAGATCCACCAACTGAGTTGTGCAGGACAGACAAGTCTTGGAGAAATTCACGTAGATAGGGAGTAAATGCTTAAGTTTAAATGCTCAACGATGCTAAATTAAATAATGTATCTCATACGTTTTGAAGATGTCCCAAGAAGTGAAATAGGTTTATAATTTTCTGCTTTGTTTTTGGGGGTCACCTTTATGCACAGGCACTACATGAGCATTCTTCTAGTCGTTAGGCAGGTAACAATCTGAGAGCGATCTCGTGAATAGAGCATACAAGAGCATACAGAGAACATCCGAACTTTCTCTTATTACTATTTGATGTGCCGCCAGGACCGGGACACTCATCAAGTTTAAGTAATTGTAAAAGTTTAACGAGGCCATCAGAAATATTTGCGAGTTGATGCATTTCGTATGGCTGAAAAGCGGGAGAGGTCAAAAAGAGCCCCAAAAATAAGGAGAGGAAAAACTGATTGAAAAGATCTGCCGAAGCACGTTGCTTCGTCTCGATCGTCGTGTCCGTCCGGATTCCTCCATTAACGAAATACCAACTTGAATTTTTTTTTATTGTTTCGCACTAGCTGCAAAAATTCCCTCGGGCTCTTCTTTAGGCGATTGGTTAGGGTTCCGTGAAATGTGTGTTTAGCTATTTTTGTTAGGCTCTGTGGAGTTTTCTTAAGCAATTTAATCGAGTATGGGCGGTAGCCGTAGGGGCTTTATGATAATGAATGATCCCAATGTCATACATTAAAAAACGCTATTTACGATGAAAGTAAATTAGGAGATCTTAGGTACTTTTTCTACGCTTAAATTGTCGGAGTTTCTCGTAGAAAGCTCCGGTAGCAGGCTTTTGTGGCCTTTTGTTGATTTCTGAAATTACGATACGAGCTCCTGTGCAATTTTTGTCTCAAAGCAGATTGGTCATCTTAAGCGATAATTAGCGAGTGGGCGCTGTGGCAGTTCTGTCGGCACCGAACGGTGACATGGGGAATTAAGCCCACCGACGGCTCCTGCTTCCTGCAAACATCAGTGGGATCAGTTCTCGAAACGCACCCCACGTAACAAACTACAGCTGCCGCAGCACCATTTCTTGTTATTGCAACCTTCCGAATCTTTTAGCTCTACAACACGTTTCGTCTTTTAAACCCCTTTTGACTGGAAATAGGAGACACTCCGAAACATTAATCCAGTTTTCAGTCGCGAAAATAGGTATAAGCGCGTGAAATCTCTAACTTTAAAAAATAATAACACCGTTTTTTTAAGAATATAGGTTATATAGCTCGCAGAACCTCGAAGGCTATTTCAATTTCGATCGGAGGTGCTATCCTGGTCATAATGTTATGCCCTCTCCCCCCTGGGAACCGCGCGCTCCCATTGACCAGAGCGCGCGTGATACTTTGAAGCTGTTGCCGCGGGAAGGTTCGCAAAACACGAAAGCACCCGTTTACCACAACAGTTGCCTTTCAACTTGGGATCGTGACGGCGAATCGACGTATGACCAGTTATGACGTACGCGGCACGTAGTTGCTTAACTAGATTAACTTCGCTTCACCGTAGGTGCGAGCTAGTGCGGGTCTCCAAGAACAGGCTTTCAACGTCCCTGTCGAGTAAACGCGCTTGCGCACTGCAGGCATCGTTCGGGGCGATGTGCTTCTGTGTCGATCGCACGGAGTGAAGCCAGCTTTATACTTCATTCACCCCTAAGCTGAGACTGTACTCTGTTTCACACTTAGTGTGCAACGCTGTCAAAGCTACTGGCGCGAGCATGGCTCTTGATGTCGTTGATCATTTGCACGCGTTCTCGCGCAAACAAAACCATAGATGAAGCCACGCGCTCGCGCCAATAGCTTTGACAGCGTTGCACGCTAAGTATGAAACAGAGTATAGAAGCTCCACCATCAGCGCGAGCTCGCTGGTTTCCGCTGTGGTTGCGCGTGCCTGCGCGTTCACACTTGAGTTGTTAGCAAAGGCCCGCGCTGAAGGCGGAGCTTCTAGTCTCAGCTCAAGCTATGCCTATAGGGTGAACGGAGTATAGACGAGGTTCTGGAACGTAAAAAAATGGGGGAGACGCTCGCTGCGCAACGATTACCGTTGCGCAGCGAGCATCAATGACGGCGTTTCCGCGAGCATGCGGTTGCCTTCGCGATGCACGATGACTGCTTCCGATGGCAATGCAGCTTGTCGAAAAGCACAGTGCGATGGCTGTGTGACCGGGAAGAGAGACGGCGACCCTCGAGCAGCAGGTACTCATGGCGCCGAAATTGTTTTCGCAACGGGGAGCTGTACCAGGGCGTGGTCGCCACTGATGAGCACATGGCCCAGTCGACGGCGAGGTAGTCAGCAATATCGAAATAAGCCAAATTAT